AGAGAGCAACTTTCTGCTTCACTTCACTGTAAATAGTAAATGGTCTGTACTTGTATTATGCCTTTCTAGTTTTTCCCACCACTCAAAGTTTTACACTACATCACACTCACCCCATTGCCACACATTTACACAGAAACAGAACTTCTGTACAATTCACAATCACACCACTTTAGCTCACTAACCACATTTCTTTCATTTCCTCATCTTATGCTGAAAGTAAAGAGCATAGGATTTGCTGGCAGCCTTGCAGATACATGTATTCTGCATAATTGTGCATCATGCAGAGCAATAAAGGAACTAACACCCACAGGCATAAAGTAAATTTACACCAGCATCCTGTTTCAATCTGAAACATGTAAGTATTTCTATTTCTGCTCAAAGATAAAAGACAATTTCTTTAGACACAGCAGGACTCAGGCAGGTTGAAGCAACACAGTGAGCGTGTGTCTTCAGCTGCAGCCATGGCGCTCAGGTGGATCATTCTGTTCTTTGGCCTGGGACTGGTAAGTGTAAGCCTTTGCATCTTTGTCAAACACTAACAATATGCAAAACAATGCTGTAATGTTGTCCCAGGATGTCAGTTCATTCTTTTGTAGTTAAGCCATCAGTTTTCTCTGTTAAGTGATCAATGTGCTTTCTAATGTATTTACTAGGCAGCAGCCAAGCTAACAGGTGACACAGGTGAGTCACTTATTAAGATGTTTTTATCTTATTTACTGTGAAAAGGTAGACAGAATAATTTATTCAGTATAATTTGAGTAAGAAGATTTGAAATACCCTAAACACTTGTGATCTTTTGCCAGTGAATGCCTGTATCTGCAATTGCATTTTACAGTGGTGATTAACAGTGTCCCTGCTGCACCCTTCACGAACTGAAGTTGTACATTCAGCTTAGCAGAAAAAGTTGTAACTCAGAACTTCCTACTTCCCACTGGAATGTATTCCAGTGGCTGAGGTGTCCACAATATGAACACCTGCAAGAAATATGTGCCTCTTTGCCTAAAATAGCAAATAAAATACAAATAAATAGCGCACAGCAGAATATACATGTAAGAGTGAATAAGCTCTAAATATATGTGACAGATCACATATCGCACCCCTGCCCTGCCCTATCATGTCATTGGGGCACAGCTCAATGCTAATTGTGCCAATAAACAGTATAATAATAATGTTTTTTACCTCCTGTAATCACATTTTGAGCAGCATATTATTGATTCTTCATCTGCAGAAATTGATGTTGATGAAGGCCAAGACTGGGACATCTTTAGCATCAATGAAGGTTTGTGTATCATTGAGTTTTATTTTTTACATTTATACGTCTTATACGATGATTTTCATCAACCAATTCAATTTTCCTTTGCAGCGGCTGGTCTGGACCTGCTGGAGGAGACATCGTACAGGAGGAAGTAAGCTTGTATGCACAGACACCAAAGACTCCAAAAACTCTTCTGCTGCTAATAATCTGCAAATTCAGGCCTGTTTAGTATGACAATATTTTTGTCTAAGTTCTGGGCACGAGATGGGACATTTGAAGATTTGTTCCACAAACATAAAGAGCCTTCGCAACTTTGTTTTTTAGATCCTAATAGTGATTAGATTGAAGATCAAACAACGAATCAGAAAGTACCTATTCAAAATATTTTTAGAATTGTGTGCTTATGTGAACATGGATTATATGGAAGTACAAGGGACATAGGTACAATTGTCTGAATTTGTAAGTGTTTTAGTAATAGTATTCAGAATCAGAATCAGCTTTATTTGCCAGGTATGTGTAAACATACTAGGAATTTGACTCTGGATTGTAATGCTCACGATGTGCTTACTTATACAATAATAAAATCAGACAGCTACAGTATAGAGAACACTATATACACTCTATGAACAAAACAATATAGACAGATTGAGACAATAGTGCAATGAGCAGAGTGCAAAGGATGCAGGAGTAAATTATTATTACCATTATTATTATTATAATTATGTGCATGTCGGACGTGGATGAGATATACAGTTACACATGCACATACATGTATACATGTACACAGTGCAATTGAGCATAGTGCAAAGGATGCTGGAATAAATAAAATTACGTGCAGGTGTTATTTAGCCTACTTGAGTTAGGTGGATTTGGTATACAGTATATACAATATACAATATGAACAGTATGAACAGCTCTGAAATGAGAATGATGAATAAATAATAAGTGGTAACCAGTAAACAAGTGATTATTAAGGCAAAGATAATGTTTGTCTTAAAAAATGGTGAAGTTCAAATAACTTAACACATGGTTTTGTTATTAAAACCACATCTCAAGTGTTAAACACATTCCCAGGGCGGAGGTTCCGCCCAAAAATTGCCTCACAGTTCATGAGTTACTGACCAAAAACAAAGTATTTTGACTGGCCACAAGGTCAAGCCATTAGTCTCATGTTCCTTTCTGTCGTGTGCATACGTATGGAGAAGTGTGTATCAAATTTGATTTTATTAAAGACAACAGAAATGTAGAAATGTCATGTTTATATTACTATGAGTCCCCTATGAGTAGAATTGTATGAAATGTTACACACATGTACCTGCACAACATTCCCAAATTTGGTGGCAATCCAATTTAGTATTGAAGAGGTACTGCCCGTGCATCAGGCCACGCTTTCAAATGTTTGTGAATCAATTACAGACAAATAGTAAGTGATAACCAAAAATAAACCAATAAGTTTTGTTCGTGGTCATCTTAATATGGTATGTCCCAAGTTAGGTGAAGATTGGCTGAAAAATGTGCCATTAGAAGCAAAATCCAAATGTTGAAAGATTTTTCAAGGAACACACTGTGAAGATACTGTTTTATTAGGCTTCACAGTTCATGAGTTAGTCAAAACCTAACATAAATAACCACATGGCGGCGCTACTGATATATGCTTTAATATGCTGAGAATATCCCAATGGTGCACCAATATAGCAGGTATGATTACTTTAGCATGTATCATATTTGAGATTTTAATGAATATATGTGCACTATTGTATTAAAATATTTATCTTATATCTTAACAACTGTAACAGATATGAAAAAGAAAAGTAATAAAGAAACATCTGCTTATATGTGAAATATGTGAAAATTAGAATAATGTATCTGCAAACATGTGTAGGCAAGAAGAAGGAGAATAAGAATATAGTAAGAATAAGAATTAAAGCTGCAAGCAGTGTTGAGTGGCACATGTCGAGGTTTGAGGCAGATGCGTTGCAGATTCTGGAGCTCTGACAGTGTGGCTGTGAATTTGCCATGGGCTTTGGACGCTCCACAAACATGATAATCATCACTTCCTGTGTCCCCTTTGTTGCGCTACATAGCACTTCGCACTACGACTATAACTGAACATGTAGATGTGTTCGGGGCGGGACTGTTATGAAGCTCGTAAAGTTTGGTGCAGACGTGAGCATGTACACTGAAGTTAAAACAACTTCCTGTTTCATGACAAATCATGTCATGTCATGTGTTGAGGGTTTTCTGGGACAGTTTTGAAGTTGACACGTCCAACCTGCTAGGAGTAGTACATTACAGCATAAAATGTTTAATTTCCTGTTGCCAGCAGGTGGCGCTATGACTTTGAGGGAATATTGGCATATGGATGCGTTCAGGGCGGGACTATTGTTATACTTATCAGATTTGATTCAGATCTGAGCATGTGTACTGAAATTATAACAACTTCCTGTTTCATGGCAAATCATCGATACTTGACAGCACGCCACAGGAAAACTGGTTGACTGGTAATAACCGTTTGAATAACTTTTAATCGTCAATTGGTTAAGACTGCACAGCAAAAATTTGAAGTTGATCGGACTAAATACCTAGGAGGAGTTCGTTAAAGTGTGTAAATCGCAAGAAATGACCATAAAATCCAAAATGGCCGACTTCCTGTTGGGGGTAGGGCATCGCTCCAAGAGGCTTTTTTGTACGTCTGGCCAAAATACACGTACCACAGTAATTTCATACACGTAGGTGAAACTTTGTCTGGGGGCTGCTCTGTAAGGGGCGCTAGCGAGCCATTTTGCCACGCCCATGCGCGACACCCCGTAAAATACAAAATTTTTCACCGCGTCTGAATTATGTGCAGTTTCGTGAGTTTTCAAGTATGTTTAGGTGCCTAAAATTGAGGTTACTTTGCAGAAAAAAGAAATAATAATCCCTGTGCATAATCCCTCACACGGTTCGTGCTTGGGCCCTAATAATCCCTCCTCGCACGGTTCGTGCTTGGGCCCTAATAATCCCTCCTCGCACAGTTCGTGCTTGGGCCCTAATAATCCCTCCTCGCGCAGTTCGTGCTCGGGCCCTAATAATCCCTCCTCGCGCAGTTCGTGCTCGGGCCCTAATAATCCCTCCTCGCGCAGTTCGTGCTCGGGCCCTAATAATCCCTCCTCGCGCGGTTCGTGCTTGGGCCCTAATAATCCCTCCTCGCACAGTTCGTGCTCGGGCCCTAATAATCCCTCCTCGCACGGTTCGTGCTTGGGCCCTAAATATAAAAAAACACAATTAAAGCTGCTGGAGGTTGGTTGACACAGCTGTAAAAGTTTGTGACTAGTGGACACTGCATGAATGAGGAAATTATTTGAAATATGTTTTATATAACGTTCCCTTCTTTTGACAATAGGAGGTAATGCATCAACACTTTTACTTGAGGCCTGACATGAATATACATTTCATGAATATAGGTCATTGCATGACAGACTTAAATATCACTTCCTCTGTCCACTATGTGGCGCTAGAGAACACACACAAATTATACACTGTGCTGCTGCATATCAAGTGTACACCACACAATGGAAAATACATCAAGGTTTTCTGCCTGTCCTCTCTTGCTGATTGAAACCACATGGTTAGTCAACTCATTAAAAGTCAACCTGACTTGACAAACGCAACTTAGAATCAGCTTTGCAGTTTTGTTGCATCTAACATAACTAGGATGACTTTGACTGTTTGCCTACTTGAACTATAATACCGACTGATTGTTAATTGACATGGCTGCTAATGTCAGAATTGCTAATTTGCTGATAAGGTAAGATAACTGCAGTCCTCCCTTCAGTTCTGTGAGCCAATGGGGTTTAGTAGTAGTAGGGTTTTGTTGTGTCCCATTGTATACAGGCTACGTAAAGATCTGTGCATTCCGAGATGAGTCTGACCTTTCACCTTCTGTGCAGGGGCACTAGCTTGCACAGGTCATTTTGCCACCAGCTTGTGGCCACAGATGCACTTTCCAATCACGTCCATCATTATCAGTGCTGTCTTCATCATCATTACACGTATAGTGTTAAACAGACCAAGGAACTAGGTGATAGAGTTGGACCAGACTATGAACAGACTTACCGTGTAAAATGTGTATCCGAACCCATTTAGGATCCGGGAGACTTATACTTTGAAGCAGTCAAATATAATACAACTTAATTGGCCTCAGGTCTCAATATGATTGTTTTGAATGACACTGAGTAATTCCCCTACACTGATAGGGACAATTTACAGAACTACAAGCTTACAGATGATTAGGTCTTCTAGTAGGATGGAATACCTTCATTTTCTTGAAGGGAATCTGGTTTGGATGGAAATCAAGGAAAGGTAGCAATTTAAAAACTCTTAAGTCAGTCTGTTCAAGTTTCTGTTTCTCATGTCTCCATTGTTAATTCTATGCCTGTTGTTTCCTTTGTTCCCATCAGACATTCATCAGAAACTCAATCATAGGAGATGAGTATCGCTGGCCAACAACCGTTCCTTACTACCTGGAGGACTGTCTGGGTAAGACACGGTGTTTTGGAAACTCCACACAGTAGTTAGCATGTTATTATGGAAATGCACCAAATTAGTTTGCTTTATCAATATTTATGTTCTTACACTTTGTAATGTGTAGAGATGAATGCAAAGGGAGTAATCCTGAAGGCATTTGACCAGTACAGACTGAAGACCTGCATTGACTTCACACCATGGAAAGGAGAGGGGAACTACATCTCTGTGTACAAAGGGAAAGGGTGAGCAGATCTTCAAACTGCTGTGTTCAGTTCATGTAAACTGTATTGTTGAGGAGGACAAATATCATGTCAGCACTTACATGCTTGCTGGTTGAAAGTGTCTTGAGTGTACATGAGGTCCCAACAGATGTTGATGCCAACACTGCATCCTCAACAAATGTTTTTGCACTATTTCTATGTACATGATGGGTCAAATGACATGCAATGAGAAAGAGGTCACTTGTAATGGCACGGTATCAATAGATGCAGCTCCCCTCAGCTCTACAAAACCTTTTATCAGTTTTCTGCTCGTCGTTGTGGTTTAAAGTACTGCAGTGTTACTCATTTGGTCTAGTCTCACTGCTTTCATCAACCCTGTTTTCATCCATCATACTGACTGACCTGTCCAGCACCAAAAGGCAGACACAGTTAGTCTCTTGCATGTGAACATCTTGCTTCCCCTCTCTGTAGATGCTTCTCCTATGTAGGCAACCAGCGTATGGGGAGGCAGCAGCTGTCCATTGGTGAATACTGTGATACTCTAGACACCGTTGAGCATGAGTTCCTGCACGCTCTGGGCTTCTGGCACGAGCAGTCCAGAGCCGACCGTGATGATTACGTCAACATCATGTGGGATCACATTGAACCTGGTAACGCTGATTTGTGACACTTGTAATTACAGCTCATCACTTACATTAGTGTACAGGTGCATCTAAAATAATTGGGGAAAAAATTCTAATTTGCACAAGTCATGAAAACAACATTTATCAGCAGACAAAGTTTGATGAATGCCCAGACCTACAGGTGCAGCTCAAAAAACATTGATTTTATTTCCACATTTTTTAGATGCAACTGTAAACTGTTTAGTGAATACTATACTATAAAATAAATGCCAAACTGTACAGAAACTACTCCTACATTTTCTCCGTATGCATGCCTGCTACATGAATAAATTTTTACAAAACACAACTGGCAGTTGTTTGTGATACTTACATAAAAAATAACAGCTGAATTCTTCCTGACATTCTTCTTCTGCCTTCCTCAGGTAAAGAGAACAACTTCAAAAGCTACAATGACACGGTGTCCAGTGCTCTAGGCGTTCCCTATGACTACAGCTCTGTAATGCACTACGGAAAGACGTCCTTCAGCATTGATTCTAAGCCCACCATCGTCACCAAGATCCCCCACTTCATGGATGTGATTGGTCAGAGCATGGGGTTCAGTGCTAGTGACATAACCAAGCTCAACCGTCTCTACAACTGCAGTGAGTTCTGT